TTAGCAGAATTACCAACTTCAATTAAACGAAATACACATGCACATTTGGATCGGACATAACATGACATAACATTTTGACATAACATTTTGACTTCATTTTCATAAAAGGAACAAAAGAACCGAACCTCGCTCCGAACAAACAGGACAGCCCCATTGACAATCCCAGCTAACATTGGATTGATATTACATAGAACGATGCCGCGAGCACTGTTGATGGTAATATCATCCGGGTGACAGTCTACCCTCATAGCATAGTTATAGTAAATTTTCTGGAATGTTTCGTTGATCTTAAGCTCATACTCAACACCGGGGTCGTCGTCGTTTAGGCTCCGAACCCTGAACGAGATCTTTGGAAACATTCCTCCGGAATTTGGATGAGCAACCATTGCTTGCTTAGCAACAGCCCCTCGCTTGGCTGAAGGCTGTACGGGCTCAACATCTTTTGTCTGAACGGGGTCGTCTGCAGGAATGTTGATCACTTGCTGAACAGCAACACCTTCTGAAGCAAGGACATTATTTTCGTCAACAACATCAACGACCTCAATCTTCTTTTGAATATCGTGCTTGTTCTCGCCAGCAGCAACACCGTTGTTCTCGCCAGCAGGATCATGCTCAGCATCAACCTTTTGGCTTTTCTGGGTTTCCTCAGAAACAACATCTTTCTCCTCGGAAGGTAAAGCAACCTTGGGTACTTTAGCAGCACGTCCTCTATATGCCGTTAGGTCAAGTACAGGGTCTTTGATGATCGAAGCAACACATCGTTGAGACTGCACTCCAGGGCGGCGTTTCCGTCCGGCCACCCTCAAGCCAACCGCGTACTGCTCCAGTAGGCTGTGACGGCCGGTCATAGTCTCCCTATTCCTCCGTGGTGGGCTGGGTATGGAAGGGCTGGAACCACCGTGGGGGTTTAGGTTTGAAGGGGTGGAGGAACTCATTTGGATTGAATATCTGTGAGTGGGTGATACTGCTGTTTTTGTGTGTAATATAGGAATATATGTCTCGTGGGTGTGAACTAGGAATATGTTAACCCGAATTTTGCGTTTCTTTTGGCAGTGATACAATAGTATGATAACGGTTTTAAAGTTCGGTTTGAAATCGATTCGGTATGAAATCGGGTCACTTTGAATTTGGTTTGAAATCGATTCGGTATAAATTCGGTGTGAAATTGATTCGGTATGAAATCGGGTCGGTTTGAATTTAGTTCCGGTTTTATAACTGGTTTTTAACATTGTTTTCCTATGTATCAGATTCTAGTTTGCCTTAATTACATGATACGCAATTTGCCTTGGATTACCTTAAATAGTTAACAACACTAAGTAAGACTCGTTTTAGACATACTGATAAGTCAGTTACTTAATTACTATGTATATAGTTAGTTACTTAATTAGACTGGTTGCAAAATAAACGCTGGAATGATATTACGGAGTATTATACTACTAAGTCCACTGCATTTAATATAAACTAATAAAAACTGGTTGCAAAATAAAAACTAATAATGATGACGACATATGAGTTACCCCCATATTATGTAATTGTATTTAGTTGTTGAGCTGTATATCCGATATTGGACAAAAGCAACTTTGATCAAATCCGAAAAGGGATCGGAAATAAGAATCCAAGTGCAACCGTTTCATAAATTTAAAATAAGGGGGAGCAACCACTGCAGATTCAACCCCATTATTTGTGCATCGTAAATATTGTGTTGCAGATTCAACCGTCCAAACCCTCAAAAAACTCCAAACCCACTCCAAACCCTCCAAACCCTCCAAACCCTAAACCCTACAAACCCTAAACCCTCAACCCTAAACCCTAAACCCTAAACCCTACAAACCCTAAACCCTAAACCCTCAACCCTAAACCCTAAACCCTAAACCCTCAACCCTAAACCCTAAACCCTACAAACCCTAAACCCTAAACCCTACAAACCCTAAACCCTCAACCCTAAACCCTAAACCCTACAAACCCTAAACCCTAAAACCTCAACCCTAAACCCTAAAAACCCTAAACCCTTAACCCTAAACCCTAAACCCTAAACCCTAAACCGTACAAACCCTAAACCCTAAACCCTAAACGCTAAACCCTAAACCCTAAACCCTAAGCCCTAAACCCTAAAAACCTGAAACCTACCCTATTATTTGATCGTAAGTTGTTGTATTAAATACTTAGTCAAATTTAAAAATAATGTAACAGTTGATTTTTGGATACTGTAATCCGCCGTTCGTTCATCATAGCTTTTTAGTTCACTGAATTCGCCTATATAAGTAGTTGAACGAAGTAGCGACGTTCATTGTCAATTGTTCACCATCTAGTTAATCATCGAAGTTCAATTGTTCCATCTAATGTTCTAGCCGAAATATTTGATTGTATTGTTCGTCTCATTGTCAATTGTATCCATCTCTAATTGATGAACGTGACGTTGTTGCATCTATTGTTCATCTAATTCATGAACGTGATGTTATTATGCATAACGTAACGTAGACATAAACCAGTTACTGTAATTATAGTTGATCAAAGTATCGATATTCCTTTTTTTTAAAGTTTATACCAGGTAACTAGAATTTGAAAATGGATATGTTTATACCAGTTTATACCGAAGATACGCTTCACGATTGAGTGTCTAGGATATTTGACGTGCTAAAGGGACACGGATTAACTTATTCACCACGGTAATTCACCTTAATTCACGCGATTCTAGTACAAGGACACGGTAATTCACCTTATTGACAATGACAACTGAATGCCAAAGGTCAGTCGGACTGCTGTTGGACAATGACATGCGCAGTAACCATGTGTCAGTCGGGCTGCTGTTGACAATGACAACTCTTGCCTTGAGAAGCGTATGTCAGTCGGCGGCCTACTGGAACTTATCCAACTTATGGTACTAGTCAATCAGTGAAGTTGACAACGAGCAGCGAAACAGTGTTTGGCCCTATGAACTTCTTTGGCCCCTATGAACTTGTAGAAATATTTATTTATTCTTACAACCTACCCTCTTTTCTCTTTTTTTCTTTCCCACCATGGAACCTAACCAAGAAGTGCCTTATCCACCTGGGTTCTTCACGGCTATGGCGATTGATTACGCCAAACACTGTTTCAAGTACAACACGAACCCTGTTCAAGAAATGAACTTCAATGACTATGTCTATTTTCATAGCCAAAGAGGAAAATTGACCTTGCATGTCATTGAATACGATATTCTGAGGAAAATTGTCGCCAACCCTAAAGAAGAGCAGCACCGGATGGACAGGATGATGATGGTCAATGAGGCCGGTCAGATTTTTCCGGCTCACTTACCCAACATTGCTGATGTCGTTGGTAAACCGGAGGTACAAGCTGCCATTCGTGAGCTGGAAAAACATGATAATGTCGAGTACGAGGGTACAACCAAAATCATTCCGAAATTGTTGATGGACAAGATAGACCCAAAGCCAATAATACCAACGAGTGGCCCTATATACTCCCTCAGAGTGGCTGGCTTCAAAGCCGATTTCGGCAGCTACACGGATGATGTTCTGTTCTTGCAGGTAAAATACATACGTACCCTCCGTCTCGTCTAATTTTACCGTAATTTCTGGGTCCAATATGACCTAATTTAATTTTAAATTTAAGTTAATTTACTTGATGCCAATTTTTGTTCCATAACATTTAAGTTTTGATGGTAGTTCTGAAGTACACAGATTTATCCACTTGTAGGGTCGGGTTTCTTGATTAGTTCTACTGTTCGTTGAGTAATTTTAATTTAATTGAAATTAGTTATACCTGGTTTCAATGACGGACTTAAAGTTAATCATAATAATTTTAAGTTGCGGAATAACGTAGCTTGTCGAAAAGGCTTGAAATTAGTTTCAAGGCTTTCAAATGTACTTCAACAATTAAAAAACAAACTGTGAAACTAAGGCAGAATATAACTTGCAAATTAAAATAAGAAATAAAAGCAAAGTCCACTATCATCAACCTGTAGAGCTCATAATATAACATATTGCAACATGGTTTTGAACAAGATTGCTGAGTACAAGGACTTTAACATGGCATGCTCAACATCTGTTTAGGTAAGGTCTCCTATCACGGAGATCAATTACACCGTGTCTAGGGGGCAGTTCATCCCAGATGACCTGACAAGCCGCTACCAATCTGTCGCCCTTCGTCCGGAGCTAGAAGGTAACGATGAAAAACTGGACATTGGAGCTGTTGTTGTGCTTTGGAATGGTCGGAGGATCACACGTCCATCCTTTATCGACCACTTTGAACAAATTTTTGCAACCCATAACCCAATTCTGATGATAGTGACAGAGGTGGGGGAAACTTCCACCAATTGTGAAAGGATTCTAGCGAAACTAGGCACAACTATGTCTTGGCGGCATGGCGCGGGTGGAGGTTTGCTCGGAGGGACCGTGGTGTTTTACGATCCTCATAGGGTGGAGTCGACCATGCTGATAGGTACTGATGACTCGAATGATGATGACCGAATTATGGGCACCGTTAAAGCATTTGAGGTTGAACTCCCTCAATGTCGTTTAAAAAAATCATATTATTAGGTTAATTAACTCACTAATCCTTTCATTTGAATGTTGGAAAACAGGTTTCTAGTTACAGTGAAGACTAGTACCAAGTGCGTCCATACTGCCTGCTGATGGTGAAGGATGTTCTGTCTATGATGTTCTGTCTAATTAAAGCATCTGTAATGTCATTTTGTTGGACTATGGTTTGTGAGAATCTACTAATGTAATGTCATTTGTAATCGAGCGACTTATTTTGAACATCTAACCCAATAAACTTTCTTTGAACAACACATTGTTGATTTTGTTTCACATGTTTTCAAATGCTTATGATCACATTTCAGTTTAACTTACAAGCTTTGAGTTGAATCTCAAAACTTTGAAATTCAATCAATTTATCCAATCTTTTGCTTTGAAACTCATCTTAAGATCCTAAAAGTCTTCATACGCTCCAGTAAAATATTTGTTTCTTGTATGCTCAGAGTCTTCATATTTAAACATGACTCACTCATCGGCCATTAGTTCATCAAGACGTTTGTGCTTTACCTGTAATCAGCAAACTTAAATGGTCACTCACCGGCCGTTAGTTAAATGTGATATAAATAATCACTGGAAGTAGAATGACATAAACTTGGTCCTTCATACTTACAGGTCGAGAAGACGTTTTTGACTTCCCCTCGATTGGAATGCCCTTCCCCTTTGTCTTACCTGGTTCTCCCGTTCCTGCCTTTTCCTGCATCCTCAACACCATTTCCTGCAACACCATTTCTTCCTCAACACCATCTCCTGCATCCTCCTCAACACCAACATCATCTCCTGCGTCCTATAGAATAATAACAACAGTTAGAGAGTGAATAGAATAATAACAGGATAAGCAGTTATTGAACAAAGAACAAAGCATAAATCTTAACAGGACTAGGCTTCTTATTCTTGTTGGTTTTCTTGTAGCCAGTTTCAGCTAACGTTTTGTGCCTTGAACCCTTAGGCCTGCCCCTTTTCCGTTTCTTAATTATAGGGTCTTTGAGAACTGGGTCCATGGCAGCTGGACAGGGGTCTCCGAGCTCTGCAGGAGCAGTAGGAGCGGGCTTCCTAACTGAGGAAATCGTTATGTCTTCACCTGCTGATGATGATAGTGTACTAACTACCGGAACATTCTGCTGACTCTTCTTGTCCCTACGGTCATTAACAGCTAATTGAAGCTTTGACAGTGTTTCCAATACCATATGGACCGTTTGATAATCCACCATAGCAGCGGTTTCACATAAGGGCTCGAATTTTCCCATCATTTTATTGAATCTCTTCACAGTGACAGTGTCGCCCGGATCATGGTAGGCCACCTTCACCCTAGTGTGCTTCCGGGGTATGTCCTTCCGCCAACGGGCTACAATGTACTTCTCTGGCAGATCTTCAACCAAGTTTTCATTGAGAATCCTAATACAGTGTTTGCAAAGTATGCCACTTGTCTCAAACTTCCTACAGTCACACTGCACCTCATTTGTCGTTTGAAAGAAAGTAACATTGTAGGTTCTTCGCCTATCTGTAATGACATCCTCACTGCCACCGGGAGGTACTATCCATACACGATCGACCACCGAATACTGAATAAGGTTTTCAGACAACACCTTCTCTCCTCGGACGTTGCAATACATCATTCTCGTACACTCCTTTTGAACTTCTTGAAACTTGTTGTCCGTGTATAACTTTTGAAATATTTTTTCCACTTTGAAGCCACTAACCAACCTCCTAAGGTACTTCGAGCAACGCTCATCTGCACTCACTTCATCTCGAACGCGTTGATCCAAGGCCTTGCAATACTTTTCAGGAAACTCATGTAGTTTGGTTTTGCGGTTAACATAGCCATCGAAAAACCGATTGATGCTCTCCACCCTTTGTGTGGTCTTCATACCAGCCCAAAAAAACTCTTTCATGTAAGCAGGCACCCACATACGACTCTCTTTGTGTAGGCTTTGAAGCCATTCATTTTCCTCCAACTTATACTCGGCTATAAACTCTGCCCATCGGGTTTAGAACTCCTCGGGGTCAAAGCTCTCATACACCAGCTCTTTGAGGGGGTTGATGAAATCTTGGTAACTAGACAAAAATGTCCAACGTTAGAGTACAAAACAGCATTTTAACTCGCAATTTTACAGTCTGTTGAAAAGTCAATAGCCTTTCTATCAGCTTTTACTTGAATTTCAAGGCCTTTGTTTTAATAAGTGATTCGGTTTATTCTTCCTATGAAACTGATCTCAAGACCTTGAGATTTCAGATTTGTATAAATTTAAATTGGCAGAATATCACAACATACCGTGCACACTTGCCAAGTTTCTCAGGGATCTTGCTCATGATATGCCATATGCACCAACGATGAACCGTGTTCGGCATGACTTCAGCTAGGGGCCTTCGCATAGCTGCCGCTTGGTCGGTCAAAATGGCTTTAGGAGCTCGGTTGTTCATGCAAGCTAGCCACTGTCGGAATATCCACGCAAACGTATCGCAGTCTTCATGTGAAACAAGAGCACATCCCAACAACAACGACTGCCCATGGTGGTTCACACCGACAAAGTTCGCAAATTGGAGCTCGTACTCATTTGTTAGGTATGTCGCGTCGAAGAAAACCACATCACCAAAGTCCTCATAAGCTACCCTACTTCTTGCATCCACCCACAACACATCCTTAAGCCTCCCTTCTTCATCCAAACGTTGAGCATGGAAAAAATTTTGGTTGCCGGATTGCATTTTTTCAAAGTACTCCATCATTGCCACCGATTCCCCTCCAACCATCTTCAACCGCCTAGCCTTGTACACCTCATGTTGTAAATCTTTGACGGTGAGAGCCATGTTACCATTTCGTTCGGTCGCCATGTAACCGTGTATTTGAGAAATTGGTAAACCTTGCTCATAGAAATCCATCAGCTTCTTCTTCACTGTTGAGGTCATTTTCTTCATGCGGTACTCCTTCACAAGCTTAGAATTTGCCGGATCAACCTTGTGATTATGCTTTAAGTGCACTGTCTTCAACACCCACATGCCATCTTCATTCACTCTAGCATAAACACGGGCCTCACATTCACACTTTTTCGAAGTCCTCTTCCTACGACTTAACTCATCCTCACATACCACCCCATCAACTAAACCACCTAAACCTCCAACACCTATTGCCTTTGCCCTCTTCTTCGCTGCCCTCCTAGCCCTCATGTCGGGTTTACCCCAACACTCACACCTCCACGTGCTTGCAATTCTTTGTTTGTCCACCGTCTTAGAATTTACGCCTTGAACCCTTGACACTCCAAACCCCATCTGCTCAGCATACTCCTTATAGTAGGCTTCAACCTCTTGCCAAGACCGGAAAACCATCCCTTCCTTAGGCTCCTCAACAGTTACACGCATTTCGTTGCTACCAACCACAGTGTGAGTCGTATGAATTGTTTTCACGGGGGATAAATACCTAACATTCGAATTCATGTCAGCTGCACCAACACCCTCAGCACAACTATCTGCAACAACTATGTCTTCTATACCCTCCATATCATTGCCCTCCTCCTCCTCCATATCAACATTACTCCTAAACTTCACGACACTACCACAGTCACCAACACCAACCTCACTGCCCCTAATAACGCCTTCAGTTTCGATTTCCATAATATCGGTCATAATACCAGTCTTCTCCATAAAAAACAATTCACCCTTCAAATACAGAACACGAGCATAATTACAATACAAATAAAACCAGTTAATCAACCAAATTACAATAAAAATAAAACCATTTAATTAACAACACGTTTTCAAAGCACAAATTCGACCCAAATACAGAAATACAACCAACCAACACAAATCAATCAACCAGTTGAACAACCACCAAAGTAATACAGTACAACCAATCTTCAAAAAATAACAGGAGGGATTTGTTTCAACGTACGAAGACAACACATTATCAAAAAAAGTATGAATTGCATTTTCAACAAAATCATTCGGCCATTTTCCAGCAACCTCAGACCCCCACCCATTTTAAACAGAGCCATTAACCTCATAATACCATTACTTTCGACTGGAAGAAGCGACTAGACGAAGAAAGAGAATTACCTAAACAGAAAACTACCTGTTAATTCAACTGGGTCTCGAATTATCAACTCGAAGATGTGTGAAGATAGTGTGAAGATTGATAGGCAGTGGGGGAAGCGACTGGACGAAGAAGAGAAGAGAACAGAAAACAGAGGAAAGAGAACAGAGGAAAGAGAATAGAAGAAGAAAGAGAAGCGATTTGACGTGTTGAATAGTTTCCCGCCTCAGCTAAGCTCCGTTAACAGTGGAAGGAAGCTCCGTTTTCACTAATTCCAGTCAGCATCCTAGTCAGCATCCCATTAAGTGAAAAACATCAATTTTATTACAGAAATGCCACTGTGAGAAACATTTTTGTTTCTCACGGTGAGAAACAGAGATTTCCTCATTCAAATCCTAACACATCTTAAAAAGTGTAAAGTCCTAGACTTTTAAAGGGCCATGGGCATAAAGGAAGTGAGATCCCCAACGATGGCTACCCTTCTCACAGTTTGTGAGCAGTCAAATAAGCTGGTTTTGAGGCCAAAACAGGTTACTTTGTCAATAGAGAGGGAGAGGGATAATATGCCAGGAAATATAGAAGGGAGTGTGAATGTGCAGAGGGAGGCGGGAAAGGAGAAAATTGATGAAATACGGGGTATGAGGGATATGGGGCCTTGTCTGGAGGGAGAATGAGAGAAGGGTGGGGGCACTAAAGATACGAATTAATCCTGTAGTTGTGGTGGTGGACAATTCTCTGCTTAAGAGTGACAATAGCAATATGGGTGAAGAGGTGGAACCGGGTACCAAAAAGCGGAGGGAGAGTTGGACTAAAAAGTTGAAAGGGGATGATGTGATCATGAGGGAGAGTTGTCAAGGGGCGTATGATGTTTCGGTAGGACTAGGTGGATCGCTTAAACGGAACTTTATATGTGGTACTAGTATTGAGGCAATAGAGGTTGGGGAGAATTGTGCTAAAAATTGAAGTGTTGTGAGCAGTTTCGATGTTGCAAAATCTGATAAAGTTGAGGGTCTTGGAGAAAACCAAGCCCTCGAACGACTATGAAACTCCAAAGCTGTAACGTCTATGGGCTTGGCAACCCATGGACGGTTCGTACTCTCTGTGTAGAGGGAGAGGCCAAATTTTGTGTTTTGAATGGAGACAAAGGTGTGTGATAGTGTCCTTGAAAGAATAAAGAGTAGGTGTAGGTTTGAAAATGAGATTTGCTTGAGTAGTGAGGGACGAAGGTCTGGAAGAGTGGGACTATGGTGGCGTGATGTGTCGGTGGATTTAATCTCTTTTTCAAAACATCACATTGTAGTAAATGTACTAGACGGTTCGGGTGATGTAGTATGGAGGGCGTTTGGTATATATGGATGGCCGAAAGCGGAAAACAAGTATAAGACTTAGGATTTGATGGTGAGTCTGCAATCATCAAGTGTTGCCCGTTGCATATTTTTCAGTGATTTTGATGAAATAGTGAGCTTGAATGAAAAGGAGGAAGAGGCTATTCGGAGAGAAAGATGTATGGATGGGTTCTGGGAAGCTATAGACCAATACGGTTTGTGTGATTTGGGATTCTTTGGTAACATAATCACGTGGCAAAGAGGTACTAGCCTTGAGACTATGATACGGGAGAGACTTTATAGATATGTTGCTGACAATGGGTTGTGCAATTTGTTCCGAATTATAATGTTAAACACCTTCCTATAAAAAACTTTTATCTTGCTCCTATTATGCTAATGGTTGGAGATGTTTTTGATAGAGGAAAAAAGGAAAATTTATTTCGTTTTGAAGTCATGTGGTTATCGAGAGATGATTGTGCAGAGGTGGTGGCAAGTGCATGGAAGGAGGTGGCTGATTCTGAGCCCTAAGTGAGACTAATGCAGTGTTCAAAAGACCTCACAGTCTCACATAATGGGCTACCCTTAAATAAATTTTCTTCACTGACGAATCATATATATATACGATTTATAGGCACATTTGTGCTAGTTTTATAGTTGCTTTTTAGGACTTTTTGTCGCTTCTTAGGTCCTAAATACATAAGTTGTCCGTTTTGTGCTCTATTACGCTTCGTTTGTGTTTTTCTTAATGTTTCATGTGATTTTGTAGTCATTTGGACGCTTTCGAAGTGTTTGGAGTTGATTCGGATGATATTTGGATGGAAGCCGATGAATTGAGTTTATAAATCAAAGATCCCACGTTCGTGGATGTTGAGTTTGATTATTGTGTGCATGGAAAATGAACATAGAACTCACAAGAGTCATTATGTGCCTTTCCGAATTGAATTTGAGTTGAAAATGAAGTTAAACGATGATGAACGATATGTCAAACTGACCTTTGTTCACTATTTTGATCATAAGTTGAGTTCTAAAGATTGGATTGAAGTGATTCAAGTTGAATTGGAAACTAGACTTGAAGATATTTTCAATGGTAGGTCACACGCCTATATATGACTTATGAATCAGAAGTTACAAGCCTGTGAAGTTGACGTGACGCCCAGCAGAGAGTGAGCGAGAGCTCGCGAGCTAGCTCGCATATGCCGAAAGCAACAGTAGCCCTGAGCGAGAGCTCACTCGCCAGTGAGCTATAGCTCACCTCTCCACTCCTTTACGCAAGCACCAAGCGATAGCTCATATATGCAGCAATGACTTATTGAAGTCCAACGTGCCAACATATATGCACCATCATGGTTGCTCGTTAAGCCTTGGTTCTTGTGTCAGTTGGCCGTCTTCATCGAGCATCTTCGTGCCACATCATCTTCTATCGTTCAATCTTTTGACAACTTGTGTAATTTATATTTTCTTATTTCTTTTCTTTATTTGTTTTTAGGTTAGAATTGTAGGAAATATAAATACTCAAGGAGACTTGTTTTCTCCTTATGCTTTTTATTATTGTTGTACGTTCGTTTTAGTTTTCTCTCTAGCCATAGTCTCTCTTGGGCAATTCGATGGATTCCTCCATGGATTGCTCTTGAGTTTTTACATTAATTCATTAAGGTATTTTATTTCTTTCATGTAATTATGCTTTCTTTATTAGATTTAGTTTTAATTATTTATTTCATGTTTAAGTAGTTTATTTCTAGGGTTTGAAAATCCATATTTATACTATGAATCTTGATTGATGTTATTGATATTTTGATCATTGATTTCTCTAATTGATAGCGCTTTATTGTTAATCTGGCAACCTGATCAATTGTTTGATTAATTATTTTTAATAAGAGTTTGAATCAAAAGATCTTACTTTAAGAGGCTTACCTACAATTGGAAATTCTTATGTTAGTGATTAAACTACATATGTTGAATTGAGAGGGTTACGACCCGGCCGTAGGCTTAGAAATGGCTCAAGATACTTGATTCATTGAATCGTTATTAATATTTTGATAGATTTAGAACTATAAGTATGGTGAACCATAACCCTAGGTTTTTTTATTAATTTTTATTTATATTTTCATTAGTTTAAACTTTCTATCCCAATTTCGTGACATAATTTAGTTTCTCCAAATTCTTAGAGGTTATATTAAATAGCCTTCTCTCTGTGGATTCTTTACCCTACTACATTGTTAGTTGGTTTTGTTAGGAATTTATCTTTGACAGGTATACGACAACCTATCATTCACTAAAAAGGAAAATTCGCAAGGTAGAGAAGGCTTTAGGGGAGGCTCAGTCTAGAAGTGTTGATATGCAAATGCTTCACAATTGTGCGTGTTTATCTGGGGAGCTTGATAAGAAGGGTCCTATTGGTTCGCAAGGTCTAGAGCTAATGATCTTAGAGACGGAGATAAGAACACGTCATATTTTCACTAAAAGGCGAGTCAACGGAAAAAGCAAAATTATGTTAATGGACTCTTTGATAAGCACGATGTTTGGCACGAGGAACCAAAGCAGTTACAGAAAATTGTCTCGAATTATTTTTTTGAACCTTTTGAGACAGAGCACCCTTCTTATTTCGAGAAAGCACTTACGGGTCTAGAGTAGTTGGTTTCGGAGGATACAAATGCCAGCGTTGGTGCAGAGCCCAGCGGGGAGGAAATTAAGGTGGCACTTTTTCAAATGCATCCAAACAAATCTTGATAAGACAGAAGTAACTTTCAGCAAATGTGTTCCGCCAAATCGGAGAAGGGAGACTATTGAGACTTTAGGAGTACAGGAGGTAGACAGACATGAGAAATATTTAGGGCTTTCGACTGTCATTGGTAAATAAAAAAAGCTGTCTTCTTGTGCCTAAAAGAGCGAATTTGGAAGAAATTAAATGGGCGGAAGGAGAAATTATTATCGAGGCCGAGAAAGGAAGTACTTATCAGAGTGGTTGCTCAAGCTATTCCAACATATATGATGAGTGTTTTTAAAATCCCGGATGGTTTGCTCGATGAAATTCACACTCTCCTTTGTAGATTTTGGTGGAATTCTAGTGAAGATTCCAATAAGTTACATTGGAAGAATTGGGAAAACTATGTCTTCCGAAGGCCATGGGGGATTTAGGCTTCCGTGACTTGAAGTGCTTCAACCAAGCTCTTCTTGCCAAGCAAGCCTGGAGGCTTCTTAAGGGTTGAAATTCGCTACTGCACCTCATGTTAAAAACCAGGTATTATAAAGGATCAAGTATAATTGAGGCTAACCGTGGCTATAATCCTAGCTACTCATGGAGGAATATTTGGGGTGCAAAGTCTTTGATGCGTGATGGGCTTGTATGGCGGGTGGGTAATGGGAATGACATCAAAGTATGGACTTATCCTTGGATTTGTGCTGACCAGAAAATAATGTATCCTTCCCCGGATGAAACAAGTAACATGGATATGAGGGTGAGCGAACTGATGTTAGACACTAATGGGATGTGGGATATTGATCTGATTAATAACACCTTCCCTACTGATGTTAATGCTGCTATTTTGGCTACCCCTTTGTCTAGTAGAAGGCCTGTTGATACATTGTTTTGGTCACAAACAGAAGATGGAGTTTTCTTTGTTAAGTCTTGTTATTGGCTTGCTCGCACAAGTGGAAGGGTATTGACTGAGGGCGATGATGGGAGTGAGGATGCAAAGCTGTGGAGGGGGATATTGCATTTGAAGGGTCTCCAAAGCTGTAGCATTTTATTTAGAGTGCGTGCAAGGGCAATTTCGCTGTAAAAGAATGACTTGTTTACATACATATTACAGAAGATAACTCCTGCCAGCAGGTGTGTGGTGTTGTAAATGAGACTAAGCTATTATTCATGCCCTATTCTGTTGTGAGGTTGTTGTGGAGACTTGGAGACATAGCAACCTGGTGAATCTCTTTAAAGGGGCTCCTGTTGATTCTTTTAAGGAGAGATGGTCTTGGTTGGAAAGCAAACTTAAGGTAAAGGATTTGAGAACTCTTGGGGCTCTGATGTGGGATTCGTGGTTCTGCCGAAACAAGGTGGTCTTTAGCA